GAAAGTGCACAGATTAATTCCCCAGACATCAGAAAAACTGATGAAGCAAACAAGGATTGCTTTGCTAGAATGTTACATGAGTAAAATAAGGCAGAAACTGCTTTGAGTGATTGTGGCACCTTGGAGATACCCAAGGCATTGCATTTTTTCTAAAATGTAAATAATTTTTTTGGCTCTAAGAGTCCCAGCCAGTTGCAGTCAGCCATAAAAGAACTGATCAAGAATAGAAGTGTCAGATTAATTGGCTGTTGATAAAAAGAAAGCTAGAAATAATTAAAAGCTAGCAGAACTGGCAGACAGTGGTATATAAAAGTTAAAACCATTATCAAATTCATATCTAGTATGAAATTGAAACTTTTTAAAAGAATGATTATTGATAAAAATTTTTAAAAAGTCAGTAACAGTCTGGATGGGATTCAGGTCGATATGATATTTCATTGTGAGCTCTGAAAATTCTTTCACTTGTTCTATGAGTCTGGCACTGAAATTCTGGTATCATTCCCAAATGTCCTCCATCATTCTTCTCTAAGCAAGGACTGAACAATGTATGTACCCAGCTTTGACCAAACCACAAACTTTAATTAGGGTCATATCTTATGCCAGTTAATTGGTTGTGAGAATCTTTAGCAAATAAGATTGCCAGGGATAATGAAATGGGGGAAAAAGGATGAAAAATGAAACCCTTTTATGTGATTATCTACAGGTTTACCTGGTTACTTCCATTATAATCAATCAGGACCACAGAAATTGTTAAATTTTTGGGATCTATTTCAGTCTTCCTCTGATACTAAAAGATCAATATTCTGAGGCCTTCAGCCATCAGAACTCAGTGAATATTCTTGTGCTTGTCAGATAGGGTTTAAGATCACAAATTGAATGGATATTTAAAATAGAAATCACTCAACTAGCCACAAGTATTACTGTGCTGAACTAGAAAGAATAGAGTGCAAAACTGTCAAAAGAAACATCCATGGTGACTTAATCTTTAAAATTAAGGATGACATTCATCCCTCTGCAAAGGAACAACTTCTGTGCACTAGAGATTATGTGGTGTACAAAATGTAATGCTGCCTTGCAAATTACAGAAAAGCTTCACTGCAAGAGAAGCATGTTTGGCAGCCCAGGAACATTCCCTGTCCATCCTCAGCACAGGAGCAGCCATCTTTAGCAGAGGGTGGGGGGAAGTTTCTGCTAAGTCTATTTAAATACTAAAAAAGCCTTATTAATTGTATCACATTCGTAAGAATTTCCAAGAATCCTCTTGCTACCACCCTACCCTGCTCTTGGTATTGCATTAGAAAACAAAACAAAATGCAATAAAAGCCTTTGCAGCACACTACTGAAATGCTCAGACAATGGTGAACCTTGTGAACATCCTCACATTCTGCCTCTTCTCAACTAGTTGACACAAAAGAATTGACTGTCTTTAAAGTTCATGGACTAAGACTTGGCTACTAATACAGCTAAACATGACACTATGGCAGCTTTAAAGAAGACACAAAATGTGTTCACCACACATCACATTTATGCAATATGTGGGATAAACAGAAAAAAAATATGGGAACACTGAGAATAAAGGAATGGAACATGGGAGACATTACCCACCAACATGTTTATATAGGTAAATTCATCAGACAGATTGTGATTGTGTGATATTTCAGAACTAAAGATGAGGCCAACTGATTATATATAATCCTCAAGTACACAAGAGTGCAAAACCAACTTTAAAGTGTCTCTTAATTAAGCATTAACATTTCCATTTAAATACACATGGGATACTTAAGACATTAAGTTTCAAAAAGTCACACTGTTTAAGCAGCAAAATTCTAATGATATTATGATGTGCAAAACTTCCTCACCCACCTTTGGAAAACAGTTTCAAAAGGTAAAAACATTCTGAAGAAACTTTAAAAGACCAAACAACAACCCCAAACTGGTATCTACAACACTGTAAATTCTCTGTTAGAAAATACAGAACACAACTATGGGCAGTGTAACAAACACAGCCTCCATCACCATCTCTTTCACCACAACATAGCAGGAAAGTTGGTCATCAGGTTTGGTTTAATGAAAACAGATGGTTCCCATGGGGGGAAAATAAAATTAACAGGAGAATGAAAACACAGCTGCACTTGAACTAAAATTAAAAAGCCACAAAGGAAAAATTCAGCAACAAAAACCTGGTAAGTGACTTCGTGGCAGCTTTTGAGGATGGGGGAAGAAGAAAAAGGTGGAAACTGCAGCCAGGTCAACAACAGTTCCCAGGTTATTTTTCTTTGGATAGAACTGGTTGAAATTCTAAGGAATGCAGATGAAAGGAGAAACAATGTTTAAATCTATAGTAACATATTCAAAATTAATGATCAAAGGCCTGCATAGAATATAAATGATGTAAAAATTAGTTTTGTTGGACAAAGTAACTGCTGAGTCTTCAGCAATTTTGTTATTTCTCATACTGCTAAAACAACCGATCAGAATATTTCTAGTACTAAAATGGTCTCCCTGCTTCACATAAAATTCTTTTGATCATGCAGGTTTTGGTGAGGCAAATTTTAAGGGACATTTATTGATCAGGTTTCCACTGATACGTGTCCTTAGTAGGAAGAAATAAGTGTCAGTTCAGTTTATGCAAAAATTGATTAACTGGTGATCTATGCTCTGATTTTGGTAATTCTTACCTCTGCAATAATGAAAGGAATTTCAATAATAAAGTTCTTCTGATTTTACCTTGATCTCATAAATCTTCCTCATTTTACTTCTCTTATCTCATTTGTAAGAGTTTGGAAAGTTCTTCAAGCCTTGCATCATTTTTCTGCAATCAGCTAAAGCCAAAATAATTTCCTAAGTGGCCCTAAATCACAGCATTCTCTATCAGGCCAGAAAAAGGAATCAGGAATAGCTTAATTATTTACTCATTGTATATATAACTTCCCAGTAATTAAATCTCAAGCCTCTTGAGGCTTACCTTGAATTTACTTTCTTTGGAGGGAGGGTATTTTGCCCTTTTTCTTCCCCCTTAACTTTTCAGGGGGGAACATTTTGCTACAGAAGAAAGCCAAGAGAGGACTCCTAGACCAAGGACACGTTTCCTTATGTGCAGCCCAGGCCTTGCACTGACAGATGTCCCTCAAACACAACACAGCAGCAAGTACCCACCCATTCTCAAGCCCCTTAGGACAGACAGATGGGAAAACTGGTGCTGCCAGGTCTTCCAGGAACACAAGTAAGGACCTGAAATATGCACTGTCGGTTCCTGCTGCTTGCATCAGCATCTGGCCACAAATTCAGCCCTAATCTACCTCAGACAGCTGTTATGTCTGGTGATCACAAACAGTTCACAAATACACTCCAAGCAGGACACGAAATTCAGTGGACTGCTTTTTTGGACAAAACCCAAATTAAAGTTCTACCAAGAAGAATAAGCAGAGGAAAGGAACATTGAGGCTGTGTGAGACACTGATTGATTTTGGCATTGCTTGAGAGCGCAGAAGCTCAAAAGTGGTGAGGAAAGAGTGCAGTCACTGAGTCACTAAAAATTTAGAACCTATTAAAGGAATGAGTCTCTGAGCACCAAGAGCAACAACAGGGATTCTCAGCTGACTGACAAATTAGCAGTGAGAGGTGCAAAGAGACTGGGACAAGAAACCAGGGAGCAAGAAGAAAGGCTGGTTAACCATCTTGGCTGGATGGCCATGCAGCAGAGACCACTTCTACTGCTTCAGGGCTGTGAAATTCCTACACTTCTGCCCCTGTTAGTTTGTTTCCTTAATCACCAGCAGGTAATTTTAATTCAATTGTATAATTTGATATGCCCAGTTTCCATGGTGAAAGAAATGGTGCAACCCGATTCCTCTCAGGCAACCTCAAGGTTTCAGCAATACACAGTCAATACACAGGCCTTCAGTCATTTGTGACTGGACATAATATCACTTAAAAATTATTAGATGAAAACCAAAAGAATTAAAAATACTCATTAAACAAGAAAAAAAAAAAAAGCACCAGAGGAAAAAAAGATCTGTGTCCTAGATACCTGCATTCTTCTGTATGTGATCAGGCTAATTTTGTGCCTTCTAGCAAGGGATGACCGAGATGACCTTGGTAATATTTGCCCATCTCAATGTCTATGATTGGACTATTTTTCCTTTGACAGTATGAGTGAAATGTGCTGTGATGCTGTTCAATAAGCCAGCAGACACTGCCTGCAGAATGCATCCTCCTGATGCACAGTTGTGTGAAACACAAAAGACCTTTAATATCAGGCAGCTAAAGAACACTGTGAAATGTGGTACCAACAAAGATGACCACAAATACTGCAAACTGACCATCAAGGTAAAAAGGCAAAGGCAACTGGCCTTTCATCCATTTCATTTAAGTAGCTCACAAACTATTAAATATATAACCACCTTTTAAAACATACCAGTTTCTTTATTCTGGCACATGGAATTCATATGTTTCTTTATTTTGGCACATGGAAGGAATGAGGTAAGGGTGACTGATGAAGTCTCTCAGCAGCTTCAAATTCTGACCAGTGTTGATAGCACTGCAGACCACAACATCTGCAACATGAGCTGTATCACTGTGCAGAGAAGCTTTTTGTTGCAATGCATCTCAGTTTTTGCAAAAGGATGACTTGCCTGCCATCCTAGTAATGTGTCTGTCTTTGTCCAAGACTGTGCTAACAAATAATAGTCACATTTAGATGGGAAATATTAAACCTCAAAGCTGAACATTTCTTTTCTTACACATTTCTTGAACTGCTGAAAAATCTTCATTATGTGCTCATCCCTAATAGAAACAGAACAGGAACTCCAAGCATAATCATGCCCCCACCAAGTAACATGGCAGTCTGTCATTAATTTAATAAAATTTAGAAAATAAAAACAACTCACTATGCCAAGACACATATTCTTGCAGTTGCTTTCACAAGGAATATGTTCTTGTCTTTATCTACAGAATGCAAGTAGTATCGTGATATTTAAATAATGACAAAATTATATTACCTTTACAACTAATCCCTTCGAGTCAACCAACCATATTCTTTTGGTAGCTGCATCTTTGGATAGCCCTTCTTTTTCCATAGCCATAATAACAAGGTTTGCTATCCCCAGTGCAGCCTGAAGGAAAAAGAAGAAAAGTAGAGTACAGAACAAGAAATGAAAGAAAACCCCTGCTCACATATTTTACTTACCCACTATTTTAGATAAGTTTTCTAATTTAGTAAACAATAAAATTGAATGATTATTTTATCATTAAATAAACCTAACAAACTGTTGCTACAATTTGGTAATTAAAAAACGTAACACAGAAGAATAGCATAGATAAATATCAAATAATATAGAAAATTCGTAGTATAGATAAATCTTCAGATGGCTCTTAGACGGTGGAGAGCACAATAAATGTTGAGGCTGGAAACTAGAAAATGCTAGAAGTAACATTTATATCACATAATGACACTTCCAGCCCTGGGAGTGTTCAAGGCCAGGTTGGGGCTCTCAGCAACCTGGTCTAATGGAAGGCTCCCTGCCCATGACAGCAGGGGTTGAGCTAGATGGTCTTTAAGGTTCCTTCCAGTCTAAACCATTTTACCATTCTATGATATTCATCTCAGAATGGAAATATTTTTTTGTCTTTGAAATTTTGTAATTTAAGCTAAAGGAAATAACAGTCTGCATGCCAGAAAGTAAAGCACAAGAGCTTTTGCTCTTATCTTTCTCTAAGATGTCCATCAGAAAGGTAAGCCTCCTTTTACCTACCATTCATGTGTTTTGTAACTCTAGACTTGGCTGTGCTCCCAGTCAAAGCAGGGGAAAGAAAAACTCATGTATCAATCTTTTGCTGAAATGTGTTTCATTCTGACTGGATTTTATAATATTTCATCAAACAGATTAAAGGTCATACAGGCAGAGATTGAAAACCAGGCAATAAAACAAGCCAACAAACTGCTCAGTATTTCTGATTACAGACCCATATATGTATTTTTTGGCGTTGGTTCTGTTTCTTGTTCTTTATCACCAACTTTCACTGAGAACCAAGGTTTTCCTTTTTTCTTTGTTAAGAAAGAAGTATTTTTTTTAGAAACAGCTCCTGCATCAGGGGTGATAGCTACTATTACCTCTTTGCAGCAACAGCCACACTAAAACTATTAACAAAAAAATAAACATTAGACCACAAATTCATCTGCTTGTTGAACATGGAACAAAACCAGGGGAAGCAACTCCAGAGAGATGGATAGTCTTGACACAGTAAGGTGGTGACATGGCAGATATGGATATAAGCCATTCTGAAAACTGCAGACATAGCACCAAATATTTAATGAAATTAAAGAAGCCAGCATGGGGTTGTAGGCTTTAGAAAAGAGATGACAAGCCACACTGTAGATAAGCACAGCCTGCACTTGTGTGTCAGCGGCTTAGAAATTAATACTGAAAAATTAGTATAAAAAAATAGTGAGCATAAAGATCTTCAGAAATGGATGACCTTAATATGTAGAATACTGAAAAAATATATTCAATGACAAAAAAAAAAAAAATCAAAGGGGCACGTCTTACTAAATAATGCTGACTTGGGTAAATATGCTATATTTACTTCCTCCACTGAATTTCCTCATCTTTCAAAAAATGTTTTTCTTGGTTATATTGAGAGCAGTTCAATAATTTACAGCAGAAGAGCTAAAACTTGAAGTTCTAGAAAGGGAACAGATCTCCAAAAAATGTCTTATGAAAAACAAGAGGCTTCACCAGTTGATCAGAGATTTTTCTGTGAATTTACATTTGAACTAAAAAACAACTTTCAGCAGGTGTCAGTAATCATTCTACCCATTTAGTCTTCCTGTTCATTTGATACATATAATTCAATTAAATATTAATAAAAGTCATCATAGTACAATTTTCCCCATGTAATAATATAATTCAATTAAATATTAATAAAAGTCATCATAGTACAATTTTCCCCATGTAATAGTAATAATAGTAATAATAGTAATAATAGTAATAATAGTAATAATAGTAATAATAGTAATAGTAATAATAATAATAATAATAATAATAATAATAATAATAATAATAATAATAATAATAATAGTAATGTAATAATACCTACCTCTCCAGCCCCCTGGAACAACACTGTGTGATCTGATAATTTGTTCTTGGTGATGCGCAGAGCTGCAAGAAGACCTGCAACAGCAACAGATGCATTTAGTCTTACCCAAAAGTTAAACATAAGTGAGAATATCATTAGAGTAACATTAAATAAAATACAACAGATTGATTCTATGGATGGGTATAATGGCTAGGCCATTCAAACTCTTGTAAAATATTCTAGTCATCATCTTTTTTAGAACAAAGGGTGTGAGAATCCAAAGAGAAGTATTTTGAAGAAATACAGATACTGAAAATTAAGTTACTGGTTTCATTCTTTAAATAGATACACTTCAAGTACAGTAAAATACAAGGCTAAGATAAAACTTCATTTCTCATGGGGAGGTTGTCAGAGTATAATATCAAACTGAACATTTACAGAGAAGCTAAACTAGCTGAAAGAATAAAGCCAGCTTATTTAAGACTTCAGTCCTCTGTGACAGGGGTTTCAGTTTAGTATCTTCTAAAACATTGGAGGTACCTTTTAAATCTATCTTTGAGTTATGCCACACAGGGAAAAAGGCTAACATTTAGTTTTATGATTCTTTCTTCTCCAAAGCAGAACCCAGAGAACAAGATACCTTTCTCTCTTTGAATGGAGAAATTTTGGTCCTCAGTGTGAGAAACAGCTATTAATAAAAAGTAGAGCTAAAAAGAATTCAAGCAGGCATCTAACTCAAACTTGTTCACAGTGTCAGGATAAATCTAACCTCTGTGATTGCTGACATATTTTCCTCTAACTTGTCTTTAAGGTCTTCTTTCAAATACTCTTGTATCTCCCCAGCAAGCCATTCCAGTGCTTAACTACACTTTAGGTTGAAAATTTCAAATCTAAATGTTTCTTTTCTTCTTCTCCTTCTATTTTGGCCTCTTACTTACTACTGGAAAGCCTGTTATTTTGCAAAAATAATTTATTACATTTGAAGACTAATGGTGTTCCAATCAGCTTTTCTTATCTGGAACAAACCCAATTCATCCACTCTTTCAGAAAGCTAAGTTTTCTTAACTTGAACTGCTGCACCCAAATCGATACACTGCACTGCAGGTGAACTGTCAGCACTGCTGAGTCAAGCCATCACCCTCTGTCATGTTCAAGAAGATTGTATTTAGTCACCAAGACCTCATATCTGGCTCTTTTGACCCAAAGACTGAAGGTGACTCTATCTCCTCAACAAAGCCTACTGGAAGGGGAAGACTTTTCTTTCATGTGTTTGTGACTTCATGCAACAAGTTTGTATTTTTCACAAATTATTATCATCACTAAAGCAGAAGGTAAGCCAAATTAAAAAAAAAACCAAGCAGACTCTATTCCTGCAAGGAACTTGGACCCAATAAAGACATCCCATGGATGGGAATGTAGCAGTGAGGTAGATAATACCTCCAGCAAAGTTAAGTTTTTAGAGGAGATTCTGAAGAACCAACTGCAGATAGCATTGATTTCTCCAGGACTGAAAAAGCTGTCCAGATATGAACAACTAGGTACTGAAAGTCAAAACATGGGTTTCAACAGTCTTTGAAGATTTTTAATGGCTATCTGATTCAGAGAGAGCTGGACCACAGGGAGATGAATACAGGCCCTGCAATATCCAGTTCCAGGAACAAAAACTGAATTCTTCCCTCTCTGGGCAGCAGCTGTCACTGACTGACTCAAGGAAATCAAAGATGAGGACATAAATTATTTTGAGAAGCCTGCAATAAATTGCAAGGAGAAGGTCTGCTGTCTCCTACAAGTCTGTTCCTGATCACCACTGCCATATCTGCAACTGCCTGCAAGCCACACAGCTGTGGGCAGAATCACATTGCTACTGATTTTTCCTTCATAAAAAAGAGTGAAATGGGTATGACCAGCCTGACAAAAGCACTTGGCTCAGAATCTGAGTATCGGACAGTTGCCCTCAACACGCAGGTCCCCTAAATTTGCTATTCACAAGTCTATTTTCTCAGAAACAAGGTTTCGGTGGTTTGTAGGCAGGATCATCTGAGTTTCAAGAATGGTTACCTTTTCAAAAAGAAAAGGTAAAGCTTAATAAAATTTAAGAACACATTTTAAAGTTAGAAAGTCACTTTCTAAATCCACTTAAAGAACACATTTTAAAGTTAGAAAGTCACTTTCTAAATCCACTTAAAATAACATGTGTCTTCAGAATTAAGTTTGTTTCATGCTCTTGATTATGACTTCTCACTTCAATCATCAGAAATACAGGACACCTTGTTCTCAGCCCACTTAATGTTTAGACCATAGAAATCTGGCATTTTTTACTTCTTTAGTCATTTTTATGACTTGTTCTGTCCCTGATTTCTAAATAAAAAAATCTTTAAAATGGTTCCTCTGAGGCATGGTTTTGGGAACAACAACCATCAGGCTGACACACTTCCACCCCACAGTCTCTAAAAACTAGCTGCTTGCTTTCCCAGATGAAATTAAGTCTTCCTCTGGCAAGTGCCAAGCTGGCAAAGACCAAAAACAGCAAAAAAGAGAAGTCAGAGTGTGCTCTCAGTTTCCCTTGGTACTCTACCAAACAATCCTCATAACCAGCAAAAAAATAAAAAAAAAAATCCCATGGTCTCGTTGGATGCCAAATTCTTTCTCCTATTTTATACTACACAGCTGTGCTTGCAGGGGAGGAGGAGGGAGCCTACATAACACAGCTTACTCCTAAGACCGTCAATCTGGTCTCCTGAAAAGAAAGCTGAGCTGGAGCACTGTAAGATCCCTGTTTTCCTTGAAGTTGTGGCCACCACAGCACCCTGCCCCCATCAGAGGAGCTCTCAGAGAGCCATGAAAGCTGCTCTTCAAGCTGCTTTGTGGTGACAGAGTCAAAATGAAACACCACAGATTTATAACGAATGGGAATGCTGGGATACTACTTATCTTCATGGCTGATGTACTGTTGCTAAGCTTGTTAGCTGGAAAATGGACTGTCATTAAGTATTACCTGTCATTACATGATTGTCTGCTTTAAGGAAAAATAGAGGATATATGAAACATAAATAAAATCCTGCACTAAATGTCAATGACATTTTGCATTAAATATTTGCATAGGATGTGAGTTAGTGTTACCTGTATGCTCATTATGAGGGTGATTCAGAACAAGGTTATAATAGCAATAGATAAAAGCTTAAAAATGACATTTCTCTGAGATCAGGATTTGCACAGAATTGCTCTAAAAAGAGTGTTTTAAAGTATTCCACACCTATTTTATTCAGCCTTTTGACTCTGAAAGGAATAATAACCCAGTTTATTAGATTATTGAACCCACTATCACTGCTGCTGGCAGCAGCTGTCATCACTCCTCGTCAGCAGCTTCCCCTATTCCTTCCCACTGAAAGGGGGGCACCACCAGCTGAATAGCAGATCTGTTTAACCGGAACTGCTCTGACTAACGCCATGACCTTAAATTTCACCCTGAATACTGGCTCCAGTTTTTGAAACAAATCAAAATGCAATCCACATCCATCTGCCAAGGCAGATGTGAACCACTTCTTGCGGACATCACAAGGGCACAAACAGAATTTTGTCACTTTTCTGACTATCATCGCTGTAGGAAGGATAGAATTGGCCAGGGCAAACAGGTTAAACCCCTTGTGTGCAGGATAAGACAGACATTGTTCAAGGATATGATTTTGAAAACCCATTCTAGTGTCCACAGATTTCTAGAAGATTAATCAAAGCAAAATTAACAAAGGGTATTTTCCTAAAGCAGTGTCAACTGCTGCAACACCAAACATTTAATTATAGTTTTATAGGAAGGTAAGTCATGTCTTGTATAAACACAATAGATGTGAAATTTCAAGGTACACTATTCTATACCAAGTCTTTGCTTTCCGTGCAAGATTCTTTAGCCTTGTTACAGTAAACTGCGAAACTGAGAATGAATGTGTTAAAGAAAATCTACAGCCCCTTGGGGTTGATGCACTATAAATGTTTGGGAGCACAGAATACTTTTTCAGCAGATAAAATTGAACAAAAAAAAAATGGGGGGAAAACCCCAAAATGTGAGGAATAAGACCTTAATTTACATTGGATGTCATTTGATTTAAACTAGTAAGAAATGGCTTATTGCACTGAAGCCTTTGTCTGTTATTTAAAGTTTCAAAAAATAAAACTTGTAATCAAGTGTTAGTAGTTCCTTTGCCTAATTTTACCTATCTCATTTTAAAAAGCTAGCAAACAATAAGAGGGGAGAACATTTTGCAGCATATCCAAAAAACCTGAGGTATTCATTCTGGGCTAAAAGATTAGGAAGTGGTAAAAGTAAAATTTGTATTTCTCAATACACAGCATAATAGAAATCACATGTTAACACTGCCAGCCATCCAAATAGCACTTCACAGCATGCCAGGGGAAAAAATCCATTCCCATCTCCTACACTTACAGGGAAAAAGGGGAGTAAAGATCCTATGGAAAAGATGAGATCTCAGCTGCTAGTGAGGCAAATACTACAGCTGTGGGTAGTTCAAAAGGCCCCTCTTTTAAGAGATGGGAGCTCCTTCTTCTTGCCGTGAATGGGCTTCTCAAAGCTTCATGTGCACACTGCTCTGATCTGCAGTGGGCAGTGAAAAGACAGGATAGGCAAGGAGAAATGTAGCCCTTCTAAAACAGCAATCATTTGACATGTTTGGAAGAGGATACAGAGTCCCAGCAGCACAGGATGGCTGAGGCTGGCAGGGCATTTGGTGTGACTCCTTGCTCAAGCAAGCAGGGTCACCTGGAGCTGGCTGCCCTGGAACATGGCGAGAATGGATTTATTTTTTAAACCCATAATGAACAAAAAATGAAACAGAGGAATACTTGTACATACACATGCTTGTACATGCACATGGAAAATTATACAAAAGCTACAGTAGGGGATTTAGTTGAAAGCATACTGATTTCAATATAAATTTACCGCTGTATTACAAAGAGGTGATATTGTGAGTATACCATAAGAAAAATACACTTCACATAACCCTACAGAATCTGTCTTTATAGGATTTTTTCAAAACTATTTTATTTTTAAAATTATTTCATTTAAAAAATCTCAGCATGTTTCACTTGAAAGCCAGTGTCTCTGAAAGTAAAGCACATATCTATGAAAGTTTTCTAGTTTGCATATCTTACCAGAATTTGAGATTTATGGTATAAATATCTGAGCTATTATGTCATTCCACTGTGCATTTTTCAAAATCTTGGTCAGAGAAAGAACTGGAAGCCCCCAAGCCCATCACAGCCATAACAACAAACCCAAAATCTTCCCTACAATTTCATTTCAAGAACAGAAACTTCCACGTACCAAACGTATCAATTTTTATATTAACGTTAAAAGAACTGAATCTTAAAAAGGACAATGTTTGTGACACAGAAATTCTGATTTCTGAGAAGGGCACTGACTTAACATTGAATTGGTTACAGCATAATTTCCAGGTATAATTTTCCTAGTTAATCAAATGGCAGTCTGCTGAAGACTTAATATATATTTTAAATAAAATCAAAATGTAAAATTAAATAATTATATAAAGTTATCTGTGGTCTACATTTCTTATTTTAGTCTCTTTCTTTTCATAAAATGTTGTTGCAATCAAACAGCACAGCTGTTAAAAACTAATGACATCTAAGGTCATGACGGATACCGAAGTTAATTCCAATCCAGTGCAATCCCTCCGTGTAAATATTTTTATTGGCATAAAATACAGGCCCTGTGTTCATCATGGGGGAAAGCATTGCAACTGTGGGCACAGTGAAGTAACAAGAACTGTAACTCCAGTAATACAGAGCAGAGAAACACTTATTTTATGTAATTGTCTTACACTACAGAAGGACCCACAGAAAACAAATGCACAAGACATGCAAACACTTAAGCCAATGACTGTGCTCAAGTAGCAGAAACTCTTTCAACAGACTGACCAAAGTCAGAATGGGTGTGGAAAGGGAGCACTTTCAGCTGGGTTTGTGAGGGGCAGGAAGGTGTGGCCCAAACCAAACTCACCCATAAGCAGGATTTCAGCACTGCCCTGTACATCGGACTTCTGCTTTATCTTAGAGACTTGTTCAAGCTCCCTGCAGCCCAGAAGGGAACTGGTTCGTTTCTTTAAGGAAATTTTCAAACTGAATCCCAAGCCGCTTCCTTTGAGGGCGGCCAGGCAGAGAACATATCTCGCCCCAAGAAACAGCTTTGTTCAGCAACACAAGCCCCACATGGGTCCATTCCCAGGCAGGTATTGGAAAGAAAAAAAAGGTATCATATCTTCCAGAAAATTCCACTCTTTCCTTATGATACCTCCTTTCTAAATATATTGGAGATGAGCAAACTTGGCCCAATTCAGGAATTTCTAAATGTTGTAAAGCTGGACATCACAAAACTAATTCATATTTCTCCCATATGGGAAATTATGAACAAACTCCCCTCAGTTTTGGAAAAGGTTCTCTAAGAGTTAGAACCAGATAAAAGTATTTGTTTTAAACCAAAGGCTTTCTCTGATTTTCTTTTCCAATAATCTGTCTCTATTTCAGAGAGAGAAAAAAAACCAGACAGGAATCCAAAGGAAAAAATGAGCATTTTCTCCCTAAGGAAACATTGCTATTGTGTTTGTAAGAAGATATTTTGAAAATACGACTATGGAGAGATTATTATAATTTCAGAGAGAAGAAATTCACGACCTATCCAAAAACAAAGATGCTTTTTAAAATGCTAAAGTACAAATAATTTTATTATTCCAATACAGATTTATACCATTTGGTCAGAATCCCACTCACTTTTGTTGTCAATTCCTTGTGTACAGACAGGTAATGTAGAAAAAGTTAATAAGCTTTCTCCAAAGCAAAGGATGTGAGACCATACTGTAGCATTATTCTCTGAATAATATAGAGAAAAAAATCCTCAAGCCTTTCTAGGAAAGATATTAAACATTTCTTTCGATCTTAAAGTAACTTTCTTTTGAAAAATATTATTACTAGAAGAAATTGTGTTTAAAATACCATGTAAGCAATATCTTCAGAAATTATGGCAAATTAGATACAGTGTTATTTTTCTTTGCTTTTATTGGCCTGGCACTCTTGTCAGCTTCACTGCTGTAGAAAATACAATTTGCATACAGAGCAAGCCACTCTTTCAAGTAGCCTGGAAAAAAAGCCATGCTATTTAAAAACTGAAAATCTCTAAGGATTTATAAAGAAGTTAGTACTATCCATTGTCATTATAGTTGCTAGGTGAAAGATCCTTCGGGTTCATAAAACTGGAATACGAAGAGGGATAAAAGATCAATGGGCTGATATTCTACTTCATTTTATTTCAATTAGGGAGAAGATGACATGCTATGAAAAAAAAAATGTTAAAGTTGAAGGTAACTACAGGGATATGATGACAAATGACAGAGATCAAAAATAAATGTATCCACTTTCACCTCTTGGAAGCTACACAAATATTAAGGATGGAGATCACCCAAAAGTCACAGGCATTGTTTGTGAAAATATCAAAGGCCTCACAAGCACAAATTAGATTGCAGAAAAATAAATTAAAAGACTGCACATGGCTGCACTTTTAAGGAAGGCTGATAGCTGCTGCAACAGTTCAGACAAGATCCAAAGGGATACCTTCCAACACTTCTGAACTTCAAGACACCTCCTTCCAAGGTGGATGAAAGAGAATGAAGTAGGTTGAAAATGCAAATACATAAAAGGCCTTGTCAAGTAAGTTTACCCATAGTTGGTACACTTTTGCTGAAAAACTTCCATTTCTCTGAAACTGCATTCTACTTGAGCCTCTTTCTGATTTGGATTAAGGACCTTCATCTGCAAGGAAAGGGAATTCCCTGTAGGAGCTGGGCCTCTAAACAACCAGGGAAACTTCCAGATGCTCTTTGGCTTGCTATAATGAAGTGCTGTAGCCATGGCTACACTCAGACCCTTCAGGGTAGGAAGCACCATGCTTCTTACAAAGGGAAATGACATCTTATAATTAGTTTATTTCCCATCTGGGAGGTTGTCCTCCATAATCTGTTTCAGATGCAGAAACAGAACTCAGCCAGGCTCCTAACAGGAACATGGTTCATAGCCAAATCCCTAACACCAGAAAGACAAGGGCTATTTGAATCCACTGCCATGCACCGAAATATGACCTAGGTCCCAAGCATGATCCACTCAGTAAGAACTTCTAGAAAACTCCAGCTCCTAATAGTTGGCTTCAAGTGTCACTGAAAACCATGAGAAATGAAGACAGATTAACTTCCATTTTTGACCTATCACTGCTGAGACCCTCATATACCCAAGGAAACATGAGGGATAAGAGGCAGCTGGATACAGAGGGCTCTCTCTGGGTATCTCTCCAGCAGCTCATCTGACTTCAGCCTCCTCTCAAGGATGGGAGCCAGTGCCCTAGAGGACGTTATACACTTACTGCCCTAGAGAAAGTTATTTTCCAGTGCTCTTTTCCTGACTGGATATAAGTAGTAGCATACACTCCTTCAGCCCTACTTGTCTGTCTTCTTGTGAGGGAGGAACAAGATGCCTGTTTAGATTAGTGCTGGGGAACCCTTCTTGTTGACATTTCCCATCCTATATATATTTTCCTTTTTCCAGATGCCAGAAATTATTCAGATGGGAAAAAGAGAGTCAAGGGGATCATTTCCCTCTAAAACTGAATGAGACTGAGGAAAAATTACATGAATATTTAACAGAGTTGTCAGCTTAAAAACTGAAATACAGTTTGACATTTATCAATCCAGTAGCATGGAAGAACAGTGGAGCAGTTGTCCCTGGAGTGGCAAAAAACCAAGAAAGTACAGTCCTGGTTTGAGCTTTGACATTTGCTCAAAGAAGTCAGTAATTTATATGGGGAAAGCCATTCATATACTAAACTATTAAAAAAACAACTCCAACAAAACAACCCAAAGAGCAACCATCTAAATAAAGCATGAGGTGTAAATGAGAGGTGAAAGGTTAAGAGCAAGTGCAGCTCACCAAAAATCCACGCTGAGGAAACCCAAGGTAAAATGTGACCTGTACGTCTACAAGTATCACAATAAAGCTGATAGATTTTTTTTCCCCTCTGGAAATTAGGTCTTAATTTTCTGGCTTGTGGGAACAAAAGTGAAGAGAAGAGAAAAAGTTTCTTACCTTGAATGTCATCATTGAAAGTGCAATACTTGTTACGGTACTTATGCAGGAGGCGGAATGCATTGGCATTAGCAAAATCCTCAAACTGAATGAGGCAGTTCATGCCATATCTAGAAAAACAAGAAATCATGAATTATGTTAAAAAAGTTTCAAAATTATACATTAAAAAGCTAGTAACATTTGTGGTCAGATTTTGAATACAAGTATAATACGAATCATACAACTCTCAACATATTTCTGTTATATTCATTACCTTTATGTTAATACAGATTATTTAGAAGATATAATCATACCATTAATAGTATTTACTCAGTTCTAAGTTATGAATAGAAGATCAGTGGAAAATACCTTCACCCTCTGCAGACATCTCAAAAGAAGTCTCCACTGAGCAATTAACTAGTGAACAAAAAAACATCCCTCCCAACACAAACCACTCTACAATTCCATGGCTGTATTTTTATTTTATTTTTTTTTTGAATACGGAAACGCAAGACTCCTAGCACTAGATTTGTATGTCAATACCTAACAATTAAACAATTGCTCTGCTGTGCCAGTAAGGTTAGTCTTAAAATGAAAGTTAGTAAGAAGTTAAATGAAATTAATATTACCACTATAGACCATGGAATGTTTTAGGTTGGGAAGGACCTTAGCGATCTTCTCATTCCAAATCCCTGCCATGGGCAGGGCCACTTCCACTACACCAGGTTGCTGAGAGCTTCATCCAACCTTGGCTTGAACACTTTCAGGGACAGAGCATCCACAGCTTCTCTGGGCGACCTGTTCCAGTGCCTCACCACCCTCAGAGTAAAGAATTTCTTCCCAGTATCCAACCTAATCATAATCTCAGTCTGAAGCTGCTCCCCCTTCCCCTTCTCCTGTCACTAAGTGCTCTTGTAAATATTGCCCAGTCCTTATATGCATTTTTAGTAGTACTGTCTCTGGATTCTTTGCATGCCAGTCACATATGGCATTTTCAGCTACTTTCTTACAACAGAAGCAAAAAGAACCAAAGCAATGAAAATATATCTATATGTATCTGAACTACAAAAAGACTGAATTCAAGCTCACAGACATTTGCAAGAGGGCAAGATCTCAACAGCACACATCTTCATTGAGCCAAAGGAGGCTTTCCTTATTTGCTAACAGCACAAATCCATGAGAGACAGTCAAGCTGTCAATTCATGCTTCATCCAGAAAAACAATACATACATATAGTGAGCAGTTCAGTGTAAATACATTAACTACGTTTTTCTTTAAACCATATATGTGTTTGGCAACCATATTAAGCAAAGCCATCAGTATTTTAAAAAAAGACAAAAATTCCTATGACTAAACTCATTTCCACAGAAAACACATATTTACAGCTATATTACAACTAGCCAAATCTATGGAGATTCTACTGGCAGGAATGGTAAACTTTGCTGAAAATAAATACATCTTCAGGTTTGATGGAAAAACCTGGACTTCTTCAGCAGCATAATGACAGGCAACTGTTTAAAAGAAAATTTGGCAAGTCCAGTACTGTAAATCACAACTGAGTTCAAATAAAACACTAGAGCTAATTTCAATAATTAATTTAAATTTATAACCTGATTCAGTTTCTGACATAAATTTCTGTGATTCCATAAGGGTCCAGGAGCTGACAGTTGCATAATAATATGAAACTAATGAGATTATCACTCTGGAATCCTGGAGCTTGGTTATATGTGTTTCTTGGATGTCATTAGGCTGATCTGTTTCTTTATTTTACCATATATAACATTCCATTTTCTCATCTCCGTTTTATTTTCTCTGTTTTCTTATCCATTACCATTGTAGACAAAGACCGAAACTCCCTGTGAGTTATAATAAAAGAGTGCCCCTGTAGAAAACAATCATCCTATACTGGGCAGACTATCCATATTAATTCTCTGAGCCAGATATCGTGGCTGTTTAATTAAAATGGAAAAAATGTAGGCAGTCTAGATCTGGCCCTCTGAGATTTTGGAGTCATAGCAGAAAAATTTCTAAGCATCATTCTTATGCATTGCACATGTAACACCTGACATCCAGGTAAAAACCTGAGACTTCAGTGCTGCACACAACCAGCAGTACCTCATAAGACTTGTGAATTTTGAGGTCTATGTTCTTAAAAAAGTCTAATCAAATCCCATGAGAGGGTACCCATGAGAGACAAGAAAATTCTGCACTGTTTCTCTGCTTGGAGTATTCTTGTTCTCAAAACCACTAACAGATGAGACATACAAATAAGTTAATACAAAATAGTTAATATCACGCATTCCAGAAAATCCCTTAGCAATAATGAATTTGCTACAAAGGTGCCACACAGCTCTGGAAGCAATGACCATACCAAAAGAGCCATCAGTTCTTCTATGACCTCCACATCTTACTATTTTAATAACATAAAGCAGAAAGTTGAGCTAAAACCTAAACCAGTATCTTCTTTCCTGTATCACTGCAATAACCTTCCACCCTTCTCACACTCTGATGAACAGTTTCAGTTTCAGTGGCTTCTGCACTATAAAAGGTAAGTGCTTGAATCTACCCTCGTGGAAGCAGAACATGTCCTCTCTGTCTGCACCTCATACCCTGCTGTCATTGCAAATTTTTGGCTTGGAACTGTACCTCTTCACAGGTGAGTAGGGAACACAAACGACTGTGAGATGAGAAGGGAACCAAGCACTTTGGTGCTTGTTCACGTGCAGTCATCAAACTCTGCTGTGCCTTTCAAATCACTCAAATTCCAGCAACTGTGGGCCACTACAGTTCTGTGAGTCATATTATGCAGACATACAGATCTCCAATATAAATGAAAAACCTTTCATTTTGAGTATGTCACCAGCAGCAGAGCTCCTGAAGCAAGCAGGCATTTTATTCAGTTACAATGCTGCACAAATGGGGGTGGGAGTGTTGATCTGCAGAAAGGCTCTGCAGAGGGATCTGGATAGGTTGAATCCACAGGCAACATTGATATGGTGGTGTTTAGTCACGGCTTGGACTTGATGATCTCAGAGCTCTTTTTCAGCGTAATTGATTCTGTGATATGAGTCACATAAAACATATCATGTCTTATGGCTTGCTCAAAACAGAGCCAACAGTTCTTCTGCTATCACTGCTTTTGACCCAGAGCTACACAGGGGATTACTGGGGAAATGGAGGAATATGTAACCAACATGAATGTTCATACTGAAAAGTGGTAAAAATAAATGGAAGGAAGTGGGCACCAACTGTCTTAACCAGTAGAAATTATGAGATCTTGTCCTATGCTGTCAAAACTAAAAAATCTGGTAGACATTCCTCCTCCATGTGCAACCAGAATAAATGCACTAATGAATTCTAGAGTGTTTTTGTACTCTGGAAAACACTTCTGATAGCAATAGCTTGGCTTGAATCCTGCCTAGGACTGATGGATTTTTGTAGGCAAGTGTTTTGTAGCTGTGAATTCCTCTCTTCTGCCTGTTAAGGATGTGTCACTGCAGTAGCTGATTAAACAAATATAAATTGTCCCTAGAAAGTGATAATCCAGATCACTGTTTCCTCTTGTAAATCCTGTTTTGTCACCCATGCCTTTCTGTGTACTTGGATTTTAGGTTCCTGCTCCAAGTCACACAGGCAGTCTGAATCAGGATCCAACCGGAAAGAAGTTCAAAGCTGTATTTCCATTGTTTTGTTATGAAGAAAAAATGCAGACCAGAGGTGGCAAGCATGCAACATTATATTTGTCATCAAGTATGGGAGGTAAATGCTGGACAATGGATTAAAATGAACCATCCCACTGAATAACATGTGGTTGCCAAAAAACAATGTCTCCAATACTTCTCCCAATTTACAGCATATTTTTGTGACAGTTTTAGCTAAGTTTTCACCATTTATAAGTAAATTCATATTCAGTTGTCCATGACAACAATGTTAGTGTTCCAAATAATTCTACGGAGTATATCCTTATGCAACAGGCAGGAGAAAAATGTCCACAGCTCTATAACCATCCCAAATATACAGTACAAGTATTTTAGCAACTAAATGCTCTTAAGACCTCAACAGAGAAAACCCTCAAGAATCTGGCTTTTGGTGACAGTGGGAACTATAAAAGTTTGGGCACCATTTTGAATTCAAACCATATGATCAGTAAAATCCATGCTTATTTCTACAGCTAAGAAGCTTTTCTAGATGTATATTTGGATCATTTGTTCTTAATGCCAACCATTGTTTTGGAAACCTTCCTAAAGAACAAGTGCTTTTTAGGTTTTCAGACCTTCCAAACTCCTATTTGACTTTTTTTTTTTTTTTTTTTTTTTTTTTTTTTTTTTTTTTTTTTTTTTTTTTTTCTGTTCATACATGCCTGGAACTGAAAAACCTTTAGAAACCATAAGAATTGGTTGCTGCCACCCATTCCTAAGCAGGAACAAACCAAAATGATAGCAACACTGGCGCTGTGTTCCTTGCCTTGTGCGTCATGCAGCTGCCCTGCCAGCCAGAACCATTTATAGTGCACCAGGACAATGTGGAAATTATCTCCTTCCTCCCTGCCCCAAATGCTGTAAGCTTGCTCATTACCATATATCCCACTGTTCAAAACAGATTTAAAGCATAAAGAACACTGCTACAAACTCCTCTTTGTGCCAGGACTTTGTCTGGATGCCTTCCCGCCCTCCCTCCCAACAGCTCTTAGGACCTGGGCGCCTTCTCCTCCTCCTCCTCTCCTCTGAGCGATCTTTAACTTCATTTCACAAGGCAATTAAACTGCTGCAATGAGGTCATGCATCCATCCCAGCACCTCTTCCACTGCAATTGTAACCCACTGCTCAAATTCAGCACAATTTGAATGAGGGGGTTAGAGTCTTGCACAATAAATGCTACATAAATATTCTGTGGAAAAGGTGGGCCAGATGAGATTCCCTCCAGCAAGCACCCCAGCCCCTCTGCAGTAGATGGTACTACTCATGCTGCCTCTCCAACAGCCTGATGTGCTACAGCTGCATGGACAAAAATCTGTTCAAGGTGCACTGAGCTCTAGCCAGTTCTACAATGCAAATACCTTCTCAGAAGAGGTATCATTAAATGAAAAATAACTTTCTCTGTCCTGAATTGGACCAGCAAGTCAGACAGGACA